CACACACACACACACACATACACACACACACACACACACACATACACACACACAGGGTAGTTTTTGTACTTTTTTTTTTCACTTTTTTGTTTTCCACGCGTGTCCTGCCACGTGTCCGAGGCCCATTGGGCACGACCCGTTGATCGGATTTCAACGGGAAGCCCCCGTTGTACCGTTCAACGGGGATTCAACTCGGGCCTCATGGCCGTTCAACGGTTTCAACGGAGTTGAATAAATCTCGTTGCGAGTTGAATGGACACACAACCTATGAAATGGATAGCAATCAAATGATTATAATAAAGGACCAGAATAATATTAAGAGAAGTACAAAAGATCAAATATTCAAGATAAGAGTAATAATGGTAAAAAATAAATGGATAACTTTTAAACCTGATACACCCATAAATCATCTGCCCTTTGATCCTATCAACTGGAAATTGACTAATACAGGAAAGAAAGGAAGAATGTATTCATGTGCTCTTCACAATTTGTCAGTGAAATCCACTTATAAGATGCTCAGACCAATTTTTTTTTTAACAGACAAGATAGAGGAAAGATAGATGAAGCATCTCAATACTAATAAGGAATTATTAAGGAAAGTAAAATGGTTAAGTTAGACTAAAATTAAACCTGCAAAAGTGGCTTCACTACAATGACAAATAGAACATAGTTGTCTTCCTACGAATGACTGACTAATAGTTAGGACAACATTAGAACAGAGAGGGAAAGCGCTCCCCTGGTGTAAAAGTTGTAAATCTGCGTTCCCTTCTAAGTTAATACAAAAAACAATTGAGCATATATTCTTACAATGTCCTGGGAAAATCTGGCTATGGAGGTGGTGGGATCGTATTTGGTTTAATTTGGAAACAAAAATTCAATGGCCATGGGACTGGAGAGCTATCCTTCTTGAAACTTGAGCTCCTGATTGTATTGATGAATTCTCACAAAATTTGTATAAACTAGGAAGGAGAGCGGTATTATGGGCAATATGATTAAGAAGATATACGTATGAAATAGAAGGAGTGAGACTAGAAGGACCAGAATTTACTGATATGGTCAAGCAACAAATAAAAACAGATATCAATATAAAATGGGTACAAGTTAAAGAAAAAATACAATTTTTATCCTCAAGGAAAAGAAATCTGCCAACATATTCAACGATTCAACCAATGTTGGCTAGGAAGAACCCAGGGAGGGAAGATGGGTAAGGTTGAATGGGAAGGGGCAAGGAGAGGAGTAGAGGATAATCTGAATAGGGACTATAAGCTTGTTTTTAAGGATTGGAATATGATTAACCCAGCAATCCCGTTAAAGGCAATGTCAGATTTCCCAGATCCCTTTCCTCCCTCGGCTCTAAGTCTTGTCCCAAGAGCCTAGTTTGGGTATGAATGAGGATGAATGGTAGGAAAATATGGTATTTAGATTTCAAATGGTTGTAAAGATAAATAGATAAAATGAAAGTAGTGCTAAAATGATGATTGTTAGATCTGGCGCCCTATTGGGGTGAAGAGGCACAACTCACCTTAACTTTATGATTCAGGCACACCAATCCTTTATATCATTCATATACTCAAGGGACGCTGGACCCGGTTTCCAGCACATGTTGCTCTTTCATATATTTAAAGGGACGTTGAACCCAGTTTCCAGCAGGTGTTGCTCCCCACCAATAGATGGAGCGGTTTTAAAAAAAAAAAAAAAAAAAAAAAAAAAGGACAGCGAGATGGGGTGTGCCAAGGATTTTTGGGAAGTTGAGTGTGGGGACACGGACAGAACCGAAATGCCATGTGCCGGTCCGACCTAGTAAGAAGGCGGAGGGTCCGTCATTGCACGGGTTTTGGGAGAGGAAATGGCGCGGGCGGGACGCGCGGCTCAGGGAAGTTCAATCCAAAAAGTATCGCTGAACTTTCCATCGAGCCGCCGCTTTTCGTTTCACCTAAAAGGGGGCGGGCACATTCTTCGTGTCCCGTTTCCGGGTCAAGTCCCGACGTCGCTCATTACAAAACTCTGAATCTGACGTGGAAGGCCATAACCGAGTGATCTTCCTCTCGTACTCGGTAGTGAAAGCCTTTTGATTGGTAACGCTTGAAGCGACGACAATCGCTGCACAGAGTGTTAGGTCAATGGGGAGCTACTGCCGACCACGGCATGACGATCAACTCATTAAACGACAATAGCAACGAATAAGGCGAAAAGTGTATGTCTACAATAACAAAACCAGCACCGACAAATCCAGAGCATCGGGTTTTACGAGGAAAGTAGTATCTCCCGCCGATCTTGGCGGCAGTTTCTCGTACGTCCCACTCGCATACACGTGTCCTCTTCTCGTTATACGGGAAGGGGCATGGCGGGGATGCGGGAGGCCGGCGCCCAGTCGACTCGGGACAATCGGTCCACATGGCAATAGTGAAATCTTATCCAACATGCATCCTACATATTAATCACAACGATCCTACGACTTAGTCGGAGACACGTCTACCAGGCAATCGTCTCGTCATGACATCATTCAAGCATTCTCATTCACTTCTCACAGACATTCATCAAGGAAGGTGCGAAAATGGAAGCCACACAACACTGAGTTCTCTGTGTGGTCTGCACCCCTACCCCACGACTGATTAGGCGGTAGTCAGAACAATCATCTCATCCCTTGTGTGCAATAGATCAACAAATTCATAATCGTTCATGTCACAGAGAGAAAGAAGGTAGGGAGGGAAAGACGCGGAGCATACAAGATAGATGAAAATTACACAAAGATTCGGCGATGAAGAAGAGTTTTCGGCTTAACTGCCACCAGACCGAACTCACTCCAAGGAATAGATTCGAGACAGGGGGCGCATCCGCCGTGAAGTTCCACTATGGCCCCGGTCTATTCATCCATTCAACTCCGATCACTATCCCCATGCATGCATTGACGACCCTAGCCATCACGTGCCACTTTCCACCACTGCGATCGTCACCCCGCCGACTTAGTCTCGACAGGGCCTGCCCGGATCCCACAGTCCGTCGTGTCGATCAGGCGCACCGCCGGCCAGGCTACAGTCGGCTCGTCGGGACTTTTCGACTGGCAATCCATACATACCATCTAGCCACTGCTTCCCGGAAGATGGCAGACGAGTTGAGAGAGAGATTTGCGGACGCACTTGCGGAATTTATAGTTGCGGGAAGGGAGGTAGGTGCGAGGGAGGGTGAAGGTTGAGTCAGGGAAGGGACTTATTGATAATCGTCCGGTGAAAGCCATGTCAATCCTACTGAGTCATATCACAACCAGTCAGAGTCGTCGCGTAATAGGAGTTTCTCCTTACATGGGGCCTCTCCTTGGCTAGGCGGAGTGAAGAGAGGATCGACCGGGCTCTTGGGCGTAGGACTCAGAGTGGGAGAAAGAAGGGTGCGCAGGATAGCGCGAAATGGATCCAAGATTTAGATGATCAAGAAAGAGAAAAGACGCACGGGGAGAGAAATAGAGAGAGAGAGAGAGGGAAAAACGGTTACGGCAGAAGAGTGAGCGCGGGCGTGAAGGGAGCGTCGAAGATGGCGAGGGAAGCAGAAAGGGGGAAGCTCACTTGCATGGCCCCGATCTCAAATGCAAAAAGAGGCACTGAAACAGTTACAGGTTCCTAGGTCTTATGCTAATTCAAAAATTGAAATCACCATATCTGCGCGCAAAGTAGGCGCGAAAAAGGAAGTCCTACATCCATTCGTATTCCCACCAAATTCCCAAAGTTTTCCACGAAGTAATCGAGAACATTTATGCACAAAAAAGACACGTCGGGTTCCGTTTATTTCAGAATTTCTAACTGTCGGGCCAAATCCCTAGCGCGCTTACTAAAGCACGTACAATTCTCATGCATTTTGCAAATTATGAAAACAAAATTTCAAGAATCAGCACGGATCTCAGCAAGGCATCTTTAATTAAAAACAGAGAGGGACCTTGTTGGGCCGAGCAAAATTCGAAAAGAAAAAGAGAGAGAAGGGGTCCGAAAAATGACGCAGGCTCAGAAGCTGGTTCGTCACATATGTGACACTCTGGGGGTTCCAAAATTATGCGATCTCCTGATTGCATGCAGAAAAGTTGGTTTACATGGCGGAGGAGGAAGAAAGGGGGCGAGAGGATGAATGAGGAACCCAGCGTATCAGGAGGAAGATCGTCTTCATTAGCACATATGATTGAGCCAGAGTTTATGTTGATGCTAACTTCAATTGTAATATCTTCGAGAGTCTGCTAGCTTGTGCTGCTAGGACCCCTCGTGTCCAGTCTTGTCACGAGCCACTCGCCGACTCCAGGTGACGCCATCATGGTCCACCGCGTCCTTCACAGGTGCGGCTGTATCACTGGAAGTTCGCCCGGCGGTAGTCGACAAGGAGACGGTTGTGGAGGGGCCGCGACCATTCGAGTGGGAGCGGAGGGAAGTAATCCGCAACTTCATCACCGAGTTCGACGAAGTGGACGATCCGGTGCGTGCGAGGGAATCGATGATTGGGTCGGGAGAGGGATAGGATATAGTCGGGGTATAAATAGGGGATGATACAGAGGATATTGTGCCGTAGGCACTCATAATCTTCCATAGCGGAAAAGGTTCCGGAGATAATACAATACAACTTCATATAGCTGTATTGCCTCCATGCGACGCTAAAAAGGAGGATGTTGAGAGGGAAGGAGGGAGAACGATGGGGAAAGACTGTACATAAAAGTCGTGCGGCAAAATGATGACAAAATAGTTGGTTAGCGAAGATACTGTAATTTAGGGGGAATTCAATGTGGGGGAGAGGGGAGAAAGAGAGGTAATTAAGGGGGTGGTGGAAAACGGGACGAGGACGGGAAAGAAGCGCAGAGGGGGCGGACGAGGGAGATCGTGAGCGGGAACGGCGGCGCCGGCGGGAGGTTGCTGCGCCATTGTGTCAAATGGCGGCGTCCGAGGGAACTTCGGGATTCAAAGCAAATCCTCCCCGAATATCAGGTAACGCTCGAGCTGGAGGAGCCTCCCGGGGCTCAGGTGCGGACGCCTCTTCTTCCTCTTTCGAAGTTGACCAGGCTTCCGATTCTTCTTCTTCTGATAGCCCTTCGATGGCTATGCGTCTTGGGCCATCGTTCGATGGTACTTCCCCGTTCTCCTGATGAGCCTTCCAGAACTCGTCAAAGTCGGAGTTATCCGGCACGAGCTCATTCAGGTCCAGAAAGCACCAAGCCGTGGGGTCGTGATCGCTCAAGTACTGACCGAAGTCCTCTGTGCAGTTCGCCCAGATTATAGTTGGCGCCAACTTCCTCTCCAAAATCACGGGTTCAGCCTGGCTTGGATCGCTCGGATTGAAAAAGATGATGTCTGTCGACAGATCGTCAACGAGTTGAGACAAAAACGTGAGAAGTTCGTAGGCGACGGTCACTGGGCCAGCCTTAGCGATTTCTCCGCATAGAAGTCCCACCAATGTGCCATCGGTTGCCGCCTCCTTTGGCCACAACTGTGCCAGCACTAGCGATATCTCGTTATAGTGCTCCAACTCCCGATTACTGTAATATCGTGACTAGTGGCACTTCACCGTGAGCATACACACACTGACGGCCGCGAATTCAGTCCACTTATGGATGAAGACTGGGCTGAATGGAGGGATCGAAGCGGGACGAATTTCCAGAGTGAGAAGGGGATCGGCCCAAGATGGCCAGATGGTTGGAAGGTCTGAGGGGAGAGAGAAGGTAGAGAAGTGATTCATCGGCGTTCGGGGTAGGGATGAAGATGGGGAAGCGGGCGAGTGGGGCGATCAGTGGCGCTGGTTCAAAGAGAGAAGGTATCAATACACTCAGTCCCCACCACTTGTCGCCCTGGTTGAGCCAGTCACTGCCGCCAATCAGCCACCAAGGCCTGCCCCCACTCGTAAAGACTAGTTACCACTGCATCGCGCCGCTGCACGTCAATGGTACACAGATCGCCACTGAAAGCCACGATTACCGTCACGTCGCTCTGAGTAGGCCGTGAGAAGCGTTGCAACCCTGACGCTTCTGCCAAGATGATTGTTGAACTTGGATTGGTGGATATTATTATCTTTACGGTGGCGCACCTGGCCCCGTGACTGAAGAGTTGCGCAAATCGGAGAAGGTCAAGACTGAGACGAGGGCGCGCGACTTAGCGAAATTGCAGCGAGGCTCGGGGTTGAAGAAGCTGGGGTGGAAGAGCCGGAATGACAAAACTCATGGCGAAGGTGAAGGGAAGGTAGAGTTAGACGAAGGAAGGGAAGAAAATTCTTCGTCTGCGCTGGAGGAAGAAGAGGAAGAGGGATTAGGGTTCTCAGAAGGAGGGAGGGGACGAAGGTAGGAGGTATGGCGGACAATGGGAAGAGAGATGTGGCTGGCGCTGGCCTCAGGCGCGATGCGCATCGTGTTGGCTCCGTTTGGACCGAGTTCTACGACGCAAAAACAACTTGAGAATTTGAGAGCGAGTTTGCAGTCACGTGCACATTTGCGGTACCTGCACCAGGTCCCCTAGCTTATATTGGTGTTGCAGGCCTGCATTCCCGTTCCGAGCCTCGTAGCTATGGACCTGTCTACCGTGGGCCAGTTTAGTCATTTTCTGTCTTTTCTGGGCTAGCTTAGGGATGACCCTTTCCATTAAATCCACATACCGCTTGGCTTTGGCCTTAAGGGCAGCACGAGTGTCCCTGCCCCCTTTTTCGGCAATTTCTGAGATACCCCGATTATCGACACATGTAACGCTATTGGTCCGAACCTGAAAGGGGGTGAACCCCGTGGACTCATGAGGGGTCGCTCGATGATTTGGTAGACAATCTTGGGCCAAGGACGCGTGTCATTAGCCGGTTAATTCTTGTGGAGAGCAGTCTTAATCATTCGGTTTGCATTCTCTGCCAACCTGTTCGACTGGGAGACATGGGGAGCGGTGTGTCGGAGAGTAACGCCACGATGCATCAGTAATTCCTTTACCTCAGCTTTGAATTCGGACCCATTATCGGTTAGAATTTCTTTGTATCTAGATGAGTATTGAGGAATCGATCGATGTATGTAGCTATATCTGAGGCTTTACGGGTCTTACAAGGGTAGACTTCGATATCTTTCGAGAAATGGTCAATTAACACCAAAAGAATGGAATATTCACAATGGTTGGGGCCAGGTGGCACGTCGATATCTGTCTTGTCCATACTGACTCGCTGGAAAGGGCGTTCTACCTCGTTCGGGACTATCGTATTTGGCCCACGAATGGGTGCACGGTCGACCGCACAGACTAGACAGTTGGCAACCACGTGCTTTACATCATCCGGGATATTAGACCAGAGCCATCAATTTTGATCCATAGTTGCTTCAATGACACGTATTGCGAAATGAGCGGCCTGTTCCTCGTGCGTCGATCTAGTCCATTCATGTCTCTGCAATGGGTAGGGAACCGTCAACCATAATCCCGATCCGTCTGTTTTACGCTTTTCCAAATGAATGTTGATCCATCGATAGTCTTGGGACCTCTCGGTGGCTCGACGCTTGTCATGCTTAGTGAGATGGTCCAATGGTTGGCCAGCTAATTTAGCTAATAATATTTTATCCGTCCATACTTCCGCCCGTCGGTATTTTTCGTCGTATTTGGGGCCGTCTATTCAGGCGGCCTCGAATCGAACTTCCGTAGGAAGTTTGTCCGTTCTACACAGGGGCCATCTCCATTCCTTACTGCTCGTTCTGTATCGAACACACGCACCATGTGCGCGATTAACACACGTGGCACATTCTACCCAGTCAGTGAATCCAGACTCGAAGGGATAGCAGTCTACCCCATAAACTCGGGCAATACACATGCAAAAATAACAGAATTTGTTGGGGAGATTGGCGAGAAAGTCAAAATGAGCGAGGGGAGCGGAATAGGTGGGAGAGGCAGAAGAAGGTGGTGTTTCCATTGTTCCAAGAGAGAGAAAAAAAAAAAGGGAGAGAGAGACGAGATTGGGTGCACGTGTCCACTTGGCCCTTCGGCAGGATCTCCACTTGTTCATACTGAGGCTTGTTCTTCGGCTCCGGGTCGCGCCACGGGATCACTTCCTCACTCCTGTGTACCTTGTCGGGGCGGGGCAGTCGTGTTAGCACGTCCGTGTTGTCGTGTCTCTCGTGCTTTCGATGACGGATGTCAAAGTCCATGCTTTGCAACATGGTAGCCCATCATCGCCCGATCATACCCGAGTAATCCTTGGACTTCTTCAATGCCAACAACGGATCGTGATCGGTCACCAACGTGAACTTCCGGCCACATAAGTACGCTCGAAAGTGACTGATCCCCCACAAGGCCGCGTAGCATTCCCCCGTCGGGGCAGAGTAGTTGCACTTACAGGCCGGCACCGATTTGAACGCGTATTCCACCACGTGTTCAAAGCCGTGTGGTCCTACCTGGGCCAAGATCGTCGAGATCGCCTCGGGTTCCCAATCGGTGATGAGGACAAAGGGTTTTTCCGGGTCTGGTCTTATAAGGACCGGAGCCGAAATCAAGGCCGCCTTGAGTTCTCGGAAAGCTCGATCGCATTGCGGGGTCCAGATCAACGACTGATTTTTTTTCAGCAAATTCGTGAGTGGTCCCGCGATCGTCGCAAATCCCTTGATGAACCTTCGATAGTACGATGCCAAACCCAAAAAGGCACGCACTTGTGTCACGGACGTCAGTACTGGCACGTCTTTCACGGTTGCTACCTTCTGAGGATCCGACTGCAACCCTTGGTCCGTAACCACGTGGCCGAGGAAGGAGATCTCGGTGAGGAAAAACTGATACTTCTCAACAGTCACCTTGAATCCAACGTCCTTCAACGCGTGCAAAGTTCATTTGATGTGCTGCACGTGCCCCTCGTAGGAGCTTGAATACACAGGGATATCATTCATATAGACAATCACACAGTAATTGATTATGCTCTGCGCCAACCGCTTTTTTCGCACGAAGTCTTGGAAAGCCATGTTCATCGCACGCTGAAACGTGGCTGGGGCATTGCAAATCCCCATCGGGCATCGAACCCATTGCCAAGTCCCTTTGAAAAGAATGAAAGTCGTTTTAAGGCGATCCTCTTTTCGAACAAGGAGATGGTGGAATCCATGACGAACATCAAACTTGCTGAAAAAACGAGCACTACCAATAGCATCCAGCAACTCATCGATCCGGGGGAGGGGATGCACATCCTTAATCGTGATGCCATTCAACTTTCGGTAATCGATGCATATGCGAATTCCCCCTGCCCTTTTTGAGACAATCACCACCGGAAACGACCATGGTCCGATGACGGGTTCGATCCACCCATTAGCTTCGAACTTCTTTGTCCTTTGGAACGCGGTCGATCTTTGCGCCGACGAATACCGATAGGGAGTGCAGCTAATCGGTGGATGATCCCCCGTGAGGATTGCATGTTCAATCACGTTGGATAATCCAATATCGTTATTATGCACACTCCGCACCTCAGCATACCCATGCAAAACATCAATCAGGGATCTTCGGATCTCTCGGGGGACATGATTGGGTATTGTGATTACGGGCTGATCAGAGATGTCAAGTGGCATATCGATCTAATTCATCCTCCTCAATCGTCTGCCGTTCACGCTGCAGAACATGGAGCTACTGGTCCGGACCGAGAAGATGGTGGCAATCATCTGTTATTCGGTCGGACTAATCATCTCAGTTTTCTTAATTTCGGCATCGGTTTCAGAATCAGCGGTGCTTTCCTCTACTTCCAATCCTGTTAACTCAGCCATATCTTGCATAAGATTCAAAACATCATCTATCGGGGCCTCTACATCTTGCTTGATTAGGGCGATCATGGCTCCTTGCGTGAGTAATGATCTGGGTGGAAAGACGAAAAGATTCAGGTACTGATTCATCTGCTGATACCTAGCTAGGAGTGAAAGCACGCCCTCGTACAAAGTGCGAGGGGGTTCCAAGAGGTCATCCATATCTGAAATTTGCAAGATCGGTTCCCCTAGGAATGACGTGGCGGGAATCCGCTTTTCTGTAGATGCGGAAAATAATGTCGACAGGATATGGCTAGGCTCGCCACTTCCTAAGCTTAAATCAAATGTTCGGGTGGTTGCTGGGATCATTCGAAATTCCTCTTTCGTCTCGCAACCGAACGTTTGAACTAATTGTTCCTATTCTTTTCCTCTAGGCATGTAGTTCATCTCTTCCTCAAAATCGCGTTCGTCGTACTCGCCATCACCCGCAAGGTGTTGTTCCTCGTTATCGTTTGGGGGAGAATCTTCCGGGCTCGGGATCTGGATCATTCCTATCCGGACAATACCGAGATTCTTTTTCAGTGATCGAGTAGAAACCCGCAACGGAAGCGTTTGAGACTTTCCTTCAGTGTGCGTAAGGACAAGCTGTTTAGAATCGAAGTGTATTCGCGCACCTACAGCCATCGCTCAGGGCAATCCCAACAGTACCGAATAAGAGTGCACATCGATGACTAAGGCGTTACCCATAACATGCACTCGACCCACTTTGACAGTTACGTTCTCAATGATCCCTACTATGTTCATGGCTTCTTCATCGGTCGAGACGTAGTTGTCCTTCCTAGGTAGCGGAAGGATCGAGTTCAGTCGGCCCGTTTTTCTGATTGTGTCTAGGGATATGGCTACGACCGATGATCCAGTATCAATAAGAGCATTAAACGGTTTACCCCAGACTTCGCAATCACACTCGGCACTTTTCCATAGGACCGATCAGACACGCACAAAATGATATTTTTCCGAGTAAGAGATGGCAGCGATTCGCTCCGTTTTAGGTACGTCAGGTTCGGTTGCTGGGGAGGGTTTGCCTCCGCCTCGTTATCTTTCTTCTTCTTTAGCATACGCTGAACGCGCTGATACGTGAAGCGTTTTTGATTCTTCTAACATTGCTGCAGAAGTTTATCATTTGCGGCTTCTAGTGTTCTACTGGGACAGGAACCCGAATGTCCAACTGCTTGAGCGTCTGCAGGACATGGACTTCTCCCGTTTCAAACTGTGGTCCGGGTTCTGGTCCCCGCTCAACACATTCGAGCTCATCTTTGCCAGGTCGGATTGTTCCGGTCAGTCCTGCCAAGTGAAGATACTCGGACAGGATCAATGACATCGGCGGCTTCGGAAGATGATCCCGAAGCAGACGCGATCGGGTCGGTTGAAAGCGGTTGTTCGGTAGAGAAGGAGGAGGCTTCTCTTGCGCCTTCCAACACTGCGGTCACCCGTCCTTGATTCAAGGTCACAGGTGTGGCCACCTGCGGAAGTTGATTACGTTTTGGTTGGGCCATTCACGCGCAAAGTGTCCAAGCTTTTTACAGTTATAACATTCAATCCTCCCCGCTGGATTGACGGCA